AAATCCAAGCTAACTACCTATAATTATCTTAGAAGCACAAGCACATAGTTGAATTAATTAGCTGTGATAGCAAATGTGTAGACAAATTAATAGGAAATGCCCCGATACTCTGATTTAATACCATATTAGTTCCTAAGATCGCCAGAATTGTAATTATTTTACACCAATTGGATATTTTACTAAAATTTTTCTAATTATCCGCATATTGTAATATATTTTTTAGGTCTCCAACGTATGTATCTACTTTTTTCTATGGGTCTATGTTAAATTATTTTAGCTAATATTTGAATTTTTTTGACATCTCGCTCTGCATATTTCCTTTCCCCACCCCTTTTTTGTAAATTGTTAGAATCTCTCTTTTTTTAAAAAGCTTTTTGCCCTCAAACATTATTAATTATAATTTGTTTTTAATTCACACTGAAGCGTTTCATTTGTACAATTGATGAAAGTATTAAGAACTTTATAAAGTTTTGCCATATAGAAAGTTTTTAAGTTAATCTAAAAGTCCTACACAAGGAATTAAGGGTCCACAAAATTATCGTTATTCAAGTACTCTTAATCAATTAATAATTTTGAGTTACATTAAGTAGCTTGTGTTTAGGCGGATAAGTAAGATATTTTTTGGCGACATATTGTTTTAACAATGAACACTTTAAAGTATACTTGTTTAAGAGAAAATTTAGTAAAATAATTTTTTGTCCATGCGTAGTGGTTGACCGTAAGTAACGCAAATTTTATGGGATAAGTGACCTATTTCCTGAAAAGGTTAATTTAGTAAAGACCAGCAACTTTTCTCAATGGCTTCGCACAAGAGCTGGTTGGAACATTTCTAACGAGGTTGATCAAAATTTAATATATAGCTTTTATTATTAGATGACGTAATTTACTTCTTATAATAAGTTGAGTTCATATAAGAAAAACAAAGCAAAAACAATCATTATTATGTAATTATACTTTTATTAGAGATCCTAGTAAGTCTTTTGAACTTAAAAAAAAATTAAGGATAAGTGATATAAGAAAATTTTATTTAGTACGCGTTCCGTCGAAACGGAAAGATTGAATGAACGAAGTTTGCTAATTTTTTGTGTCTCATTTTCCTTTGCTCCACTCTGAAAAAATTTTTATACCTCGACTGTTTGTGGATACTTAAAAACTTTAGCACAGGGATATATTATAGTTAATCAAATGCACAAATTTCTTTGCGCCCGTTGACTAGTTATAGACATGTTTAACGGTTTAATATCCTTATTAAACGCAATTAGTATATCATTTAACTTTCTGAAAAAATAAGCGAAGCTTTTTTTTATTAATCTTTTAAATGTTTATTGCCAGTAACCAATTAAAAGTTGGGATTTACGGTCCGTCAATAACGACATAAAGTAATTCCCCTTCAAAATAAGCGCGTGACCGAATAAACTTTGCCATTGGAATTTTTAACGTGGTACATTTCTATTTTAGAACTCATGCGTTAAAAAAATAAATCTTACCGCCCCGACATAAACTAAACTTTTTTAAAAATTATCATATTTTATTTAAAGCGTCTTGAGCCTTTTCAGCAATACTTTGAGTGGAGAATAATATGGCGTGCAGAGAGAATTTTTCTATTGAATCCGAGATTGCTCTAAACGATCAAATAAATCTTGAGCTCGCTGGTGGGCCCATATATCATTACCTTGTTTATAATTTCTTTTTTTATTAAGCATATATGCAGCGAGTCATACTTATTTATCAATGGCCGCTCATTTCAATCAAGATGGGGTTGCACTTTCAGGATTTTATAAATTTTTTATGCATTCCTCTGAAGAGGTTTTATAATATTATCTCGTGTTTTAATACCCAGCTATAAGAAAAGGACTATTTTTAAATCTTTTACACATTAGGAACGCAATCATGCTAAGAAGCTTATTGAGTACCAAAACAAGCGTGGAGGCCAAGTTATTCTTACTGTAAGTGACTTTAAAGTTTATTTGTATTTGTGTACTATAGCACTATTCCTTGTAGAAAGTTAAATTTCTTTTAGTTCTGCTATACTTATACTATTTTTGTTTCTTTATTAATATTTATTAGAATTATTTGTAGTAAATAATGAAGCTATTTAATTAGCTTGTATTTTTATTTAATGTTATCTTTTTATAGGATATTAAATTTAAAGGTCCAGAGGCCGAAATCACGCCCCTCAATGCACTTGAAACCTCTTTAGAAATGGAGAAAAGTGTGCATAGAAGCCTTTTGGCTTTGCACGTTATTGCCAGCGATAGTCAAGATCATCAGTTTACCGACTTTATAGAAGGTTTTTTAGCAAAATAGTAATAAAGATTAATTTTTTAGTTACTAAACTTACTTTAAACAAAACTTAACCTTTTCAATTTTTCAATTGTATTCTTTTAGTATATATGAATTTTTTGTATAATTTATGAAGCTCTTTTATAAATTTATTGTCGTTTATTGTCTGAATTTTATTTTTTTAAAAAGTTTTAATTAAACATTTATATATAATTTAATAATGTCACTTTTTTTTAAATTAATTTATGCATTTTAATAAGCAACTTGTTACTTGTGAATTTAGATTTTTTTTGGATACTAATTTTTTTTGTTAAGTAAATATTTTTACTTTTTAACAATAATGTATATTTTTTTTTACAAAATTAATTTTTATCATTAAAAGTTTTCGATTTAACTTTAGCAATCATTTTTTTTGAATATATATTTTTTTAATAATTATTTTCAAATAAATATTTTTACTTTATATTTAAAAAAACTACCTAATATTATAAAGCGTTTTTTAAAATTTCTAAGGAGTATAATACTTAACATTTACTTTTATGATGTTGTTTTGAACTTTTATATTACTTGATTTTTTTTATACTTTCCAACTTTTTAGTAATTTTTATTTCAGTTAAACTACTAAAAGCTTATTTTTTATATTATTTTAGAAAATATCATAAAAATATAGGTTTCTTTTATTATTATATTTGTTATACAATTTTAAATTAGCTGATAGCACTTTAAGGTTGTACTTTTTATATATCATATTATAGATTGTTTTCATATTTTTCTAATTTTTGAAATTTTATTAATTTTTTAACGAAAGTCTTTTATATTTAACATTTAATTGGAAAATTGGTTGAAAAACTTTATTTTGTTTATTTGCTTATAATTTTTAATTTTATCTATTTTTTATTTTCAAATTAAAAAGTTTTAATTTTAAGTTTTATATATGAAATCTGTATGAGTTAAATTTTTTTGAATTTTAATTTTATCTGAAAATTATTTTTTTTATTTTTTATTGTTAAATTATTATATTTTTTCTTGAATTTAGGAATCTGATTATTATGATTTTTTTTGTTTATATTTTTTTAAAAAAATAATTTTAATTTTTTTAATTTTCTAATTTGCTTATAATTTTTGTAAAGAAGTCTATTAATTTTTAAATCTACTAACTTTTGTTATTTTTAAGTCACTGTTCTAGTTGTTTAAATAAATTATTTGTGATTATGAAGTTATTTTATTTTCTAGCTACTTTTTATTACGAAGACTTTATATAAATAAAAGATATAACTTTTTTACTTAATTGATTTGTTAATTATAAGGATTTTAAAATTTTATATTTAAAATATTATGAAAAATAGAAATTTTATAAGATATCAATTCTTTGTATTTTTTAGTTAGTGATTTTTATTATGAAATTTATATAATTTTATAAAGATTTGTAAAAAATATAATTATATCTCTTTTAAGTTAGCATAAAATTTACATTATTTTTAATTATTAATTTTTAGTAAATCTTTCTTGTGAAGATCATATTTTAATAAAAGATTTTCCTATTTTACCAAAATGATTTATTGTTAAATTTATATAAGTTTTTCTTGTTACTAAATTTGATTTTGTTGTGAATTAGAAAGATAATTTTTTTTAAATTTAAAAATCTTTTTAGTATTATAAAGTCTAAAGTCTAAAGATTTTATTTTTTGTAGGGGAATTTTTAAAAGAGCAAGTAGAATCTGAAAAGCTTCTTTCCGATATGATAACTAAACTCAAACTTTGCGGCGACGGTCTTGGCATTTTCATTTTCGGTATTAAAATTTTTTTAAAAATTTTAAGGAATTATGCATTATTTTTTTTTTTAGTATGAATGAAATATATATATATATATTTGGAACTATTTTTGCTGGATTATTATATTAGTAACATATTTTTTAATTAGTATTTCAATATATTTTTATAGCTCAATTATGAAATTTGTTTTATGATTTATTTTTAAACAATTATTTATAATTTAAAAAATACTATCATCTAGAATTTTTTAAACATTTTACTTCTATATAAAAAATTGTTTTAATATTTTAGGCTAAACTATACATTTTATAATTTTTACATTTACGAAATTAAATTTTTAATTTTTTTTTATTTTTTTTTTTTATATTTTATGTGTTCTTTTAATGTTTAGAATTTTTAATAAATTTTTTTAGCTTTTTTTAAAATTATTATGCGGTTAAGAAAACTTTTTAAAAATTTGAAAACAAAATTTATGAACAACTTTTATAATTTTAAAATTATTGTTTGGACTCCAGTTTATTTTTTATTAACTTTTGATTTTTATAATTCACTTTCAGAATAAACCATGAATTTTAAGTTAAATTAAATTTTTCTTAATAAATTTATTGACTTTTTCTATTATTGACTCTTAAAATTTTTATTAATATTTATGACTTAATAATTATAAAAAATAATTATAAATTTTCTGGTATTCAAATTCTAAGTTTTAATTATTATTTTATTAACAATTTTATTAATAATTAATGGATATTCAATTTTTTTTTGGTTTATAATTCGAATTAATTTTTTTAAAATTGTTATGGATAATTATAATTAAGTAAGAAATTTTCTTTTATATATTTAATAGTGTAAGAAATTACCATAAATCATTTTTTAAATAAAAATTTCAAAAATTCTTTTTTTGTTATAATAAAATTTATCAATTTTTTTTGAGTTTGTATTTTTGGATAAATTTAGTTTTTTATTTTCTATTTTTCAATTTTAAGTTGGTTCTCGCGAAATTTAGATTTTATAAATTATCTTATTTCTTTTGTTCGTTGATCCAATTTTATTATTTTTTTCTGCGTTTATATGTTGGTTTTAAATTTTACATTAATATATTTCTTTAAAACTAATATGCCATTGCCAATTTGGAAATTAGAAATTATTTTTATATTAATTATGTAATTCTTATTTTGTTTATCGAAATTTATTAACCCTAAATTCCAATTTGATTAAAATTTTATGCTTACAATTTCGTTATTAAATTGTACACTTTAATTTTATATTAATTTCATTGGGACGATTATAAAATTCTAAATTTAAAATTTTTTATTTTTATTTTTATAATTATTCTTATGTTTTATCGAAATTTTAATATTTTATTATTATTTTTATTAGTTTTTTTAGAATTTTTATTTTAGAATTTTAGTTTTTGGTTAACTTTTTGAATTTTTGAAATTTAGGAAGTTATTTTTATATAAATTATATTTTTTTATTTTATTCATGGAAATTAATAGTCTATAATATTTATTTTTATCTATATTTTCAGATATTATTTTTTTGAGTTTTCAATTTTGGTAACACTTTCAAAATTAATTTATAACTTTTATATAATTATTTTGTTTACCGAAATAAATAAATTATAATTTTTATTTTTTTCAATTTTTTTGGAGTTTCTATTTTTGGTTCTTAAATATTAAAATTTTATGATTTTTTATTTTAAATTTAATTGGGCAATTGTGAGATTTCAAATTTAGGAATTATTATTTTATTTATTTTATAATTATTTTGATTTGGTTTTTTAAAATTCATATATTCTATTTTGTATTTTATTAGTATTTGAGAATTTTTTCCTTTAAGTTTTTTTTTTTAGTAAACAATTTAGGAAATTTAGAGGTTATTTTTATATAAATAATTTAAATCTTTTTGATCGAAATTAATAAATTCTAATTTTAATGTTTAATTATTTTTTAGATTTTTTTTTGTTTTCGTTTTTGGTAAACAATTTTTTATATAATTTTATTTTTTTAGGTTTAATTTATAGTTTTTTATGAAAATTTTGGAGTTAATTATTTAAGAAAATTTAGAAGTTATTTAATTATTAATAACTTTTCAAGAATTTTTATTATCTTTTTGCAAATTGAAATTTTGCTAACCCTTTTTTTTATCTTTTAACTTTAATAAAAAACTTCTTAATTTAAATTTTATAAATATTTTTTTATTTTCTAAGTTCATATTATTTATATCCCTTTTAACTTCAATTATTTTTTTTAATAGACAAACATTTAAACGAGACGATGACGTGAATTGTTGTTGAATCTAATAATAAATTTTTTTAATTTCAATTTAATTATTATTATATAAGTTTCATTATATTTATATCTATATTGTATAACATTTTATAAAAGTTTTGATTAAATTTTGGTAAATTTATTAATTTTTTTTTTTGCAAGATTATTATTTATTATGAATTATTAAAAAAAGTAAAAAATATTGTAGATCTATATAAATTATAATTAGTTAATTTTTAAAATTTGAGTAAATTTATAATCCTTTTTTCTATATAATTGTTAATTCTGAAAAAAAAAAGTTAAAAATTTAGAAAATATATATTAAGTTTACTTAGTGTTTATAATTTCTAATTATTTTTTATGATTTGTTAATAAAAGATATTTATTTAGTAGATTTATATAAATTGTTAGCATTTAAATTTTTTTTTAAATTTTATTAAAAACTCAATTCTTTAACTATTAATTTGTAATTCAGTATTATTTTATTATTTATTTTATATATATTTAATTATATAAGTTACAGTTAATTACTTAATTTTTATATTAAATTTTATTTTTTTGTGGTTAGTAATTACTTTTTTGATTTCTTTAAATTTTGTTTGTAGTAATAAACTTGGTTTCAACTATTTATAATTATAAATAATCGGAGGCCACTCTACAACTTTTTTATTATAATTCAAGAAATAATTCTTTATACTTATTAACTTGTTAGTTTCCTAATAAATTGGTTATCATTAGAACTCTTTTCTAAAACTTTATTAAAATTTATATAAAAAACCATTTTAGGATAAGAAGGGCGGCACATTATTTTTTCTTAGTAATCTTTATATTAGAAACTTTTACCTTTTGCGAGAATTGCGTTTTAGTAAAGATTTATAAATAATAAAAGTTATTTCAATTAATAAAAAGTAAAAATTTTCGCTTTTACTAAATCTCCGAACAGCATATTTACAGGTTTGAATCGACTTTTGAACTTAAATTTGTTTTTTAATAATAGGGAATTAGTTTATGAGTTTTGAAAAGAAATTTTTCTTTAAAAAAAGCTTTAATATTTTTCAATATAAAAATTGATAGTATATATGGAATTAGTAGCAAATAAAATATAGATTATAGAGGAAATTGAAGAAATTCGTAGCATATATGAAATTAGCAATCCATATAGATTTTTTAGAAATCTGAAGATATAGAGATTTCTTCGACTCTGATCTCAGCATAGATCTCTTTAAGAAGCGTAGAACCGAATAGTTCTATACTCAAACGTTGCGCTATTAGTAATAAACTTAGTAGTATTAAATAAAAAAAATGCTTTTTATAAAAAAGTTATTTATAACAAATATTTATTTAGGTCACTTTCCTTCGCAACTCAGAAGACTTAGATTTAAGCATTTTTTTAAATCGGCAATTTTTCTCACATTTTTCACTCGTATTTTTTAAAAAAAAGTACAGCTGGTACAACGATTACGTAATTAAATTTCCATCAAGATTGCGTGACTTGACGATCTTTTCTTATATATAAAATTGGCTTATATATAGAACGTTTCATTTTTTTTAAAAAAGCATTTTGTTTATGCTTTGTAGATAGCAATCCATTGCAGTTTGGGTATCAATAGTATAGTAATTAACATAACGGTATACATTTCATTGAAAAGATGTCTGCTGACATTATAGTTTTCCTTAACAGCTATTTCCGTTAACTTTCGCTTTAAAATAAAGCGATACATAGTTTTTTTTTGAGTAAAACATTTTTATTTTGAAGAGCGATAATTTAAGGTCTCCTTAAAAGCAAACCTCTACATTGGACATATTAACATATACAATTATCTCAAACAGTAAGAAGCCTAAGTGTTTTAAGTTGATTATACGAATTTTATGCGACCACTGTTTTTTATAACACTAAATAACTGAAGCTATTTTAATACCGTTTTCTGTAAACCTTTAATGTTTTAAGAAGAGTAATTGTACTTAATAAGGAAACTGCCTGTCTTAAATTTACTTCACTAAAGATCGAGCTTTCAGTTATAAGCACTTCAAAACAGTATTGAATGCTGTGCTAGAAAGTTATAGACTTTTTTATCGTACCATGCTTTCTTTGCGTAATTATTAAGAAAGGAATAACAAATAATTCATTGCTCGAAGTCTTTAAAAGCGTAGAGCTAAAATTAAGTTCAACCTCTAAAGACGCGCATCAATGTATGTTAAGTGAGAGAAGCATGTAAACGATATGTAATACAATGCGCTGATTCTCAACGATCCAGGTTACCCAGCCTATGCACTACGCAACTTCATATGCTTTATGTTAAAGTACCTTTTTTTCAATATATGCTGTGTATTATTACTTTACTATCTTTAAAAACTAATTCTATTCCAAAGTCATGTATGCGTATTTTTCATAATAATAATCAGTTTTTAATGCACTCTACTACAAGAGAAAGCGCGTTAGCACTGCAAGTCAAGTAACTGAGGGGTCTTTATTATAGTGAAAATTTGCTTATAATTCATTAATTTTAAGAGAATTGTGTCTTACAATTTGCACAGCTTTTCACAAAATGAATTATGATACTTTTTTTAATCGACATTAGAATTGTTGCAGTTATTCTCATAAAATTTTTTATCGTTGTTCTCGTTATTATAATTAATACTTCCATTGTTATTATGAATTTGATTATTACTTTCACTGCTACTATTACTATTACTATTACCTACTAAATTGCTCGAGTTGTTACTATTATTATCACTATTTTCTATATTATTATGATTACTATTATAACTATTACTGTCTCTATCGCCATTATTATTAGTAAAAGTACTACTATTGTTAGTATTACTATTATTATTATTTGGTGCGGTTCTCCGTCGAATTAAGAATTGAAACTGATATCCGATGAGTACTGAAATAATAGAGATGAGGCCAAGTAAGACGTTGGCTGGCGCAAGTACTGGTCTGTATAACGTCAGCCTTCTCGTGCGGATGGGAACGAACACGCGCAATCTCGGCTCCCTATGAAGTATGTAAATGTTTATTAATAACTCCTATTAAAAAATAATGAAGTTTCCTAAAGACTATATAAATATTTTTTTTTTATAAATAAAAAAGTGCATAGCAGAGAACTTATAAACTTTTTCTTTATAAAAAATAACTACAAAATAAACAGTACAGATCCTAAATTAGTAATTTTTAGGTCGAAGTGAAAATCTATAGGTGCTTTATAATGGATAAACGTAATTAAGGAGCCACTCATATTAAATTTACTGTTTAATCAATTATGAGTCAGTAACAAATAATTATAACCAATTAGTATAAACTGAGTCTCTTTAGCGATATTTAGTTATTTTTAATAAATATATGCAGTTTATAGCCAATCAAATTGGAGAAACTTTTGCGCCTTCCCCATTATTTGAGCCCGTGACTTTTTGAACCCCGATTACTTGTAATCGTGCCCAGTAATTATACAGTTATTTATAGTTTTTATTAAAATTATTCTAAATAATAAAATAGTGGGACTGCTTTTTTTATAGCGATATTTTAATTAATAGCATAAAAATGAAATAAAATTACTTTTTTGGCAATAATTGTAATGAATAGCATAAAATACACAAATTGAAATAATAATAAAAATCTTCTTTAGCGATAATTATAATATTAAAATAAAAAAATTATTTTAGCAAAAATAATTACAATAACATTAAACTAAATATAAAAAAAAGGAAATTTTCTTAAAAAAAAGACATACGTCAGTGTGAGGAGGTGAATTGCGTAGCCGAGAAAAAAATAAGAACAAAGTAAGCTCAAGCATAACACAAACAATATGCAAAATAGCGCCTAAGAAAAATATAATAAGTAAAAAATTATGAGTCAACTTTTCATTACTTTTATATGATAATAAAAATTTATATATATGAAGTATATAAATAGTTTGAAGTAATAAAAAACTTTAATATAAAGATTTTCAGTTATATCTCTTGCTGTTGTTGTGACGTCAGAATAATACTATGAATAAATAATACAAAGCTTTAAAAAAATAATAAAAAAAACTTTAAAGGTAAAAATATTTCTTTATCGCAAATATTTATTGTCATTAATATAATAAAGCCGTAAATAATATATAGTTTATATAAATATTTTCTTAAGATTTATTATTTTTCATATTTTATTTACATATTAATATAATAAAAGTAAATATAAAGTTTTTTATGAAATTTATTTACTTATATAATATTTATATATTTCTTTTATTAAAGCGTTAATAAAATTCTAAGTAAGATAATAATAAGTATATAATAAAAAGTTCTTAAAAAAACTTTTGGTATATATTAATGTTTATATATTTATTAATATATTGTAACTACAATAATATACAGTAAATAATATAAAGCTCTTAAGAAAAATATTTACTTATAAAGTGTTCATATTTATATTTATAATATAATTGTAACAACAATAATAATATAAAGTAAATATTAAAAGTTCCTAAGAAAACTTATCATTTATTATATTTATTATATATAATTGTAACAACAACAATAATATAGAGTAAATGTTCAAAAGTTCTTATAAAAACTTAGTAAAATAATTATATATATATTTATTATTTTAACAAAGTATTTTTGTAATATTCATAATATTGATAAAAAGTAAATAAAAAACAGTAATAAAAAATAAAGACTTTCATTGGCTAAGTTTTGTAAAAAGTCAATAATAAAAAAGTTACTAAAATAAAATATTTATTATACTCTTATGCTAATCGCAATGCTATAAAAAATAATATAATAAAAGATTTTATAGAGTTCATAATGATTATAAACACTTCTTATTATTGTCATAAATTTATTTTCCTTATTATTATTATTAAATATGAAAAAAAAGAAAAAGGAAAAACTAAAAAACTTCGAAGACGAGTTTTTTTTTAATAGTAATAAATATACTAACAGTTATGAAAAAAGTAAAAAAAAAAACTTTACATACACGTAAGAACATAGTAATTAAAAATTTAATAGTAAAGAAGAGAATTAAGAATCAAAAGTAAAAGTAGTAGAAAAAATTTAAAATTAATAAAATATTTATTCAAGAAAAATAATAAAAACGTTTTTGCCAATTTGTATCTGTTTTCTAAAAACGGTACCAATCTCGAAGTAAAAAGTAAGGACTTTGTAGAATATTCGGCGCCCGTTGCGCACTCAGAAACGTAAAACGGAACCAACTGATCGTTATGACGAACTAAAGAGTACCAAAAAGTAAAGAAATAAAAATAGTGATATTTATATATAAAAACTAATAAATAAAAAAGCTAAAAAGTTTTGCAAATGTTATAAGAATATATATACAAAAAATGAACATATAAAGAATTCAATATTACGGATATTTTCTTGATATAAATATTAACGAAAAAAATACTATTAAACTTTAATTTCTATTAAATTGTTTAAAATACATCCACAAAAAATTATATTTTATAATTTTTGATATACTAAATATAATATATTTTTATTTAAGTCTTTGATATACTAAGACACTTTAATATATATATATTAAATATAAATTATATAATTATTATTACTTAATATTGTTAATAAGAAAATGTATAACATTTTCTTATTAACAATCTTATTCAGAGATGTATATAAATTAAAAACTTTTATTTTTCAAGATTTTAGAAAAAATATTCACAAAATTGATTGTATATAAAAAACTTTGATTATACTAATAAACTTTAAAATATATATTTTCATATAAATGTTATGTATAATAGTCACTAAATTGTATAACAAAAAATATTTTATAAAACTTTTATCTATTATAAAACTGTTTTAAAAAATATTATATAAATTCCAAAGATTTCACACAAACACATGATAAATATATTAATACATAAAAAAATATATATTATATGGTAAGAAAAGTCGCAAATACATAATATTTTATATGTATAAACTTTTCTTATGCTAATAAACGGTAACAAAAAAAATATACAAGTCGCAAAATGTTAAAAATATGTATAAAACCTCATGCAAAACAAAGTAAAAAAATTTTTTTTATGTTAGTAAAAGTTTTTGGCAAGTTTTCACAAATAACTAAAAACTTTTTGTTAAAACCTTTACCGTTGGTTTCCCTTATTTTACGTGCCACATAAAAAGTCGACAGTTATTAGTTATAAAAAATGTCTTAATAATAAAAAAAAGTACGAGGCCGGGAGGAGCCATTTATATAAAAGATTAATCATTTTTATATAAAAAAACCAAAAAACTTATTTTATTCAAAAGCAAAATTTTAGCGCAAATTATTAGAACCAATAAAAATTATGCCGCCCAATTATGGTATAAATTGGTATTATGTATAATAAAAGAACCTGATAGGCCCACAATGTCGAGGAAACGCTGGCCTCCTTCAGCCAATAAATAATTTTTATTGTGCGAAAGTAGTTGAATAACCCCCAAAAATTCACGCAGCTGGCACTTTTCTATTAGCAAATCAAACTCCGTATTTTTTAGAGTGTCCCTCCAATCAAAATCATCCTGAAGCCCTTCTCTGGAATGTAAGTGAACGAACCGGACACAAGGGAGCTGCACCAGTAGATGGGCTTTGTAGCCTAAAGCTTTGGGCAAGGCGAGGCGCCCGGAAATAGTCAAATTGGGAAACGCTGTAATAACGATAATATTGATAATAAATAACAGCAATGATTATAATGATAATAATAGTAAAAATAAAATTAATTATAGTAATGATACTAATAGTAGTAATAATAATATTATTAATAATAATAATAAAAGTAATAATAATAACTTTCATCCATTAATTCCGCAGTAAAATTCGGAAAAATACTATCAATAGTCTTAAAAAACATGCTCAGCACTTTCGAACGACTCACGTGCTCGTTCATGACTTCAGAGGAAAACTTAAGGAGGAGCTCCAAGTGTGCGCGATTGCCCGTTACGACAGTGGCTATATATGGAAATTCGGACAGCTGTCCGGAATTATGAGGGAAGTTCCCATGTGTTTTTTTATGGTCAACGCGAAGCTGGAAGTAGCACAGCATTAGAGTAAAGCGCGTGTAGATGCGATGCTCATAGCGAGTATCCGCATTGATCAGATCTGCAAAAAAAATTCATAAAAAACAATGATTCAAAACACGTTTGCACATTCCTATCACTATTTTCTTTTTAAAGTAAAAAAAAATTCTTTAACTTCATAGTAATATATATTTTTATTATTGTGATTAATATTTTTTTAATAAACTTTATTTTTTCTTTATATTTTTAACCCGTTAATAGTAAACTGAACGCTCCAGAAATGAGAGGAGCGAGGTCAGGTATGCTCTAAAAGGAATCGAAAATTTAGTGAATTATAATTATAATAATAAGGATAATAAAAGTAACATGAAACTCTTTTTCATCTTGCAAAGCTCTTTTAATCAGCAAGTCTCCTAAAAGTGAACCTTTTTATAAACATAATAATAGTAAAAACCATGTTTACAAATAAACTTTTTTCCCTACTTTTTTAATAAAAAAAAAAAAAAAAAAAAAAAAATTCATGTTTATTTTATAAAAAAGTAAAAAAAAAATACAAAACGTTAAGTTTAATGCTTTTCAGCTGCCAAGCGGAAGCTCGTATGAGAGTTTCTCGCATAATAAGGTTATGTCGGGCACACACACGTGCACGCAAAATGTTTAAAAATTTTTATTAACCAGTATTGATTTCTTTTTAAATTAAAAATTTAATATTTTTAATTAATAATTGATAAATTTACTATTATATTTTCTTCATATAATTTTTTACTTAATAAATTACATTTCAAAAATAATAATTATAAAAATATAATATAAAATATAATCGTAAATAATAATTAAAAAATGTAGCAAAAGTATAAAAAATTTTAATAGTAAAAATTAATTTTTAATTTTTATATATATTTTTTCTTTAATTTTTTAAAGTATATATTTTCAAGTTTATTAGTTATTATAAGTTATTTAGGCTATTATTATTTAAATAAAAAGAGCTAAAAAGAATTTATATTATATTATCATATATAACATTTACTTTCATAATCTTAAAAAAAAATTAAAAAAAAATAAAATTTATAATTATAAGTAAAAAATAATTTTTTTCTTATTTTTTATTTGATATATAAATATAATTGTCTGATTAAAATAAATTATTAAGTGAAATTATATATAATAATTTAAACTACTACTAATATAAATAATAATAATAAATTAAATTTTTATATTAGCTGTTATAATAATAATAAATTTTTTGATATTAATTTAAGAAAATTAATAACATTTACTATTAGAGTATTAAAAAATTTATATAGTAAATCAAAAAATAAAATTAATATATTATTAATTTAATTATAAAGTAAATTTAGATATAAAAACTATGTTCTTTATATTAACTTATAATTAATTTATAAAAAAATATAATTTTTTTTTAGTTAAAAGTAATAAGTAAAGAGTATTATTATTAAATTTATAATAAAAAATTTAATAAACTAGAATAAATTAAACAAATTTTGATTTAAAAAAAATTTTAAAAGTAAATTCGTAATAAAAATTTAAAAAAATTTTATACAAAACTTCTAAATTCTTTATAAAATAATAGCAATAAAAAAAAATTAAATAACAGTTAAGAATGAAACTGAAGAGAGGTTACCAGAATCGGGGTTGTACTGCATCGAAAAGTGGTAAAAGGAGTGGGGCTCAGAAAATGGTCTAAAAAATAATATTTAATAAATAAAATATATAATTAACTTTTTAGAAAATAAAGTGTCCAACAAAAAAAAGTCAAGCAAAATAAAATAAAAAAGTTTTGAAAAAAAATAATAATGATAATTATAAAAATGATTTAAAAATTTTATTTAAAAAAAAAAGAAAATTTAACAGTAAAAATAAAAGTAATTTATTAAATTTATATAAAAACAAATTTCTAGTATAAAAAGTTTAAAGAGAGAAAAAAAAAAGTTTGATAAAAACTTATAATAAAAAAAATTAATTTAGCATCCATTAAAAATTAAAAAATAGTAAATATAAAAATTATTAGTAATAAAAAAATAATAAAAAAGTGGCATAAGGAAATTTTAAAAACAGAAAAAAAGAAAATATTCTAAAAGAATTTTAAAAAAAATCTGATTTGATAAAAAGCAACGTTATAAAAAGTTAAAAGGAAATTTGAGAATCTTAAATAAATAATTTATAATTAAGCCTAAATTTATTAGAAAATAATATAGAAATATAAAAAAAAATTTTAAAATATTATTTCTAATAAATTTCAAGAAAAAAAAGAAAAAGGATATATTATTATTAAAACGACAAAAAAAAATACTTATAAATTCTATATAAAACGCATTAAAAGTTCTATAATTTGCAAAATTTATCTTAAAAAAGTAAATTAATATAAATAACTAAAAAAAACTTGAAAACGTTAAAAAAATTGTGATTTTGAAGGAATGTATTCTTCCACAAAAATAAAATAAGGTTCAAAAGATTAAAAATTAAAATAAACTTTCATATATAAAAATTTTTGAATAAATGCAAAACTATGCTACTATATAAAAAATTTAAATTAACAAAAGTTAGCAAAATCTAATTATAAAGAGCATATTAATAAATTAAATATAATTTTTAAAAAGAATTAGCATTACTTAAGTAAATAAAAAAAAATAATTTATACATTAAAGAATTGTTAGTAAATAAATATTAGAAGAATTAGATTAAAATAATGGAAATATATAAATAATCTGTAAAAAATAATTAATAGTTTCAAGAGAGATTCGTAAAATTTATAACCTATTAGTAATAAATATTAATTTTTAATAAAAAACTAAAGGTTAAAAAAAGGTTTAAAAATATAAAAAATAACAGAAAAAAATTAGAAAATTTAAATAAATTATAAAATTAACATCCATTATGTAAAATAATTATATTTGCTTCATCAACAGTTAAATAACAAAAATGTTTGTAATATATATAACTTAAAAGTAAAAGTAAAAATAAATTGGGATTATTAACAAAAATTAAAAATGAAAAATTGTAAAGCCGTTAAAATTAATTAATTTTTACGGTAAAACATTCTGGAGAGCTGGAAAGGAAGTGTTCAAGTTTTCGTTAAATTGTGAGTAATTTTTAAAAATGGAATTTAGATTTTCAAAGAAATTTTTTTGAGACTCGAGTTCTTCAAAAGAATAATAATGCGGGATAACACAAAGATGGAGTAATTCAGAAAAGTTAATTTGTGGAAGTTGCAAAGTTAATCTTTTATAAAAATGGAATTTTTTATTTTATTAAATAGTAATTAGTTAATTATAAATATAATTAGAAAACCACTATAAAAACTGGCTTACAAGTCTTTGAATTTTTTATAATAAAAAGTTTAAATTGTATTTTTCATGAACTGTAACAAAAAAAAAATAACTAAAATAATATAAAGTATTATTGCAAGAAAAATATAAGCTAACAAGAAACGTAACGCATCGATAAGAAAAATCTATTGGAAATTTAAGTCTAAATTTTTTAAAATTTTATTTTAATGTTTATAAATTTTACAGAAAAATATAAATAATTATAATTAAATAATTTCTTTATAGAAATAAAGAAGCAAAAGGCACACAAGTAACAATTAATTGAATTTATAAATTATAATAGATAGATTTAAATACTTTATAAGGTTTAATTACTTATATATTAAAGACTGGGCATATTACATATAAATGAAATAAGGATCTCGGTATCAATAAAACTTAAATATTAGTTTTAAGTTTTGGTATTAGCGTTTAGGAAAACACAAAAATTATTACCTTAAATTAGTTAGATAACAAGAATTCATTTTTTAGTTGTAAACAATGTTTTGAAATTTCAAAATAAGTAAAGAAAAGGTTAGGTTTATAGTATTATCAGTTAATATTTAAAAGAAATAATTAAACATTATGTCTACTTAAATCATTTAAAGGTTTCTTTATAAAAAAGTTAATATGGTTAAATGTCTCTCCTCAAAAATAGGGAGGCTAATTAAAAAAAATTAAATTTAGTGGCTTAATTTATTTATTTCATCATCTTTTTAAATTCTTTTATTTAAATAAAACTAAATACACAGTCCTTTGAAAAAGAAAAAAAAAGCTAAACAAAAAATTGAGTAATCTTATTTTAGTGAGCATGAAAAGTTAATAAAATTAATATAAAATATAAGATAAGCATTAACCCAACATGTTAATAATGTTTTACTAATATTCGAATTGAATATAAGTGTTTGATTTAAATAAAAGAAGGTAGACTTTTATAGAAAGCATTTGTACTCATTAAGAAATGTATAAAAAGAGCGAAGCGGAGTCGCATCTACTCCATCAAAGTCCACTTTCCAGGTAACCAACTCATTATTTAACAAAAGTTGTTCTTCCATAAAAGAGTTTATTGTAAAATATATATATAGTGGTGAACTTTTTGAATTCCTCATAAATTGCGTGGTTGAAAGTTTCCCAACTTCAAAATCAGTTTTAGAAACCGAGAGACACGGAAAAACATATTTCTAGCAAAAATTTGAGTAAATTTTTTTTTAGAATATAACCAATTGAAAAACAAAATAGAAAAGCTGAACTTGAATATAAAATTAAGAATAAGTAAAATAACGAAATGTATAAATAAATATATATACAGACTTTCATGTATTTATAAACCTTGTACTCTAAACAAAAAATAATAAATTTATTTTAGTTTACTTACTTGACTTTCGGTTAAAAAATAAACGTATCTCGGCTTTTTATCCAAAGAACACAAAGTTAAGGTTTCAAAAGTAAAACTGGGACAAAACTTTAATAGTAACAAGAACAAAGCTAAAATCATTTATTCAAAAAACCACAAAAGTTTTTTTAAAGAAACTGGAATATTTTAAATTAGTGTCAGGGGAAATATATTTCAAGAGTAAATGATTAAAATCATGTAAAAAGAAAATTTATACAAACTTACTAGTTTTAATTACTTAAAGCTAGAGTAACATCTACCGACGCAAACATATTTAGTTGGTAGCTAATATCATAACGAGCCCAAAACACAACTTCGTAAATATTATAATTCTCCCACGAGAGAGAAGCCCGTCAAAATTTTTAGTTCTATTGATAGTGCCTGCTCTTGCTAGTTTTGTAAAAAAATATCGCAGGTACTTTTTAAACATGCTAAAAACAATGTTATAAGCTGAACTTCAAAGCAGAATAAAAAGAAATATAGTAATTCACTCGATTTCACTTCAACAAACTAATCATTATTCTGTTATAAATTTTAACAAATAATATAAAAAAAAAATGTACTCTTTAAAACAACCGGAAAGGGCTAGAAGTTAACTAGCTAAAATTGAATATTCAGAAACGGACACAATAGCGCAAGGACTTTGCAAAAAGTTTATAAATATTAATAAAGTAAAAAATGATTTTATAAGAATATTGCACGTCAATCATCCATTTTGTAATACTAGCTTCAATTTCGATTTAAAGATCTTTCTAAACAAGACTTAATAAAACAAGTGAAGCTCAATACGTGTTAATTTTTTTTTTAAAAATATCACTTTCTAAAGGAGGCAGTACCATGATACAGAGAAGCGATATACTATTATATTATTTTATTTACCCATGACACAATACTTATAAAACGTGATAATATACCAAAGTTTATTTAATACTTGACTAATCGCTGCTTCTTCTTGGGCTAATAATTTTCACCATGGTACGATGATGCAGTAAACATATTACTCTATGGTAGCTCTTCGTAGTAAAATCCCAAGTTTTTGCGAGCACTTTAATTAAGTTTATTTATGAGGCTAGATCTATAGCTTAAAGCTACACCATTTATATCTATTTATATTGAGAACCTTTAAAAATAATAACTTCTCAAAACACCTTTAACTTACACATGTACTAATGTTGAGTCTCTTAAAAAAAAAATAACAAGAACGCTACATCATGATAATTACACCGTTAAAGCTGTATATTGTAACAGCTGACAATGAAATTGAGCAAAGCTTTCATCTCTCGTTAACAATGTATGAAAGCCCGGGTTGCTACTAAGTACTAAGTCGTTTTTGTAAAATGTAGGTCCACTTGTTAATAATTCTTTTCACTTTCTGAATTGATTTGCAAAATAGCATAATATTAGTGGTACTGAATTTTGTGTAAAGATATTGCGCAAATTACTCAGGTGTCCCCAGAATACACGTTTGCTCGTAAACTAGTGGGTAGAAAAAGATGGTAAATAAGAACTGTACCTCTACTTTATGCTTAGTATAATACGTTGCACAACGTAAACGTTCTAAATTTGGCCCAAATCTTAATAGTAATTTGTGTAGTGATATTTAGGTATTCTCAGTGCGAGCTAGAGCATATCACTATTTACCAATTCAAAAGCTCGAGGTTTCAGAGTTTGTAATATCTGTTGAGCAGCAGAAAAAACAATTTATATATAATTAAATATAGCAAAAGATGTGTTCCTGTCTAGTTGGCGTTCCTTACTTGTTTTTGAATCAAATAACAATAACATGGTTCAATACTGAATATAGGGAATAAAAATTGTTTTAAAATTAATCCCAATCCTTCACTTGTAATGAACTATATAATAAAAAAACTCAGATTCTTAATATTTTGAGGCGACTCTCCTCAATGCGCCTGCTTATCCTTTAGCCATGGGCCCCTTGGACTATCCTTACTTAAATCATATATTAAAAAAATTCATACTTTTTATGTAACGAACCAAAAAGGTTGTTACTTCTACGAGGATGGTAAGATAGAAATAATAATTTTTTACATACATACCTATTTTTTTTAATAGAAGGAAACTGTTAGAGCATACGTTAGAGGATTATTTCTCTACTAATATATATTAAACATTGTTAAAAGTAAGTGTTTAAAGGCTATCGTAAAAGCCAGACTAGTTAATTTTAAGCAACTCGCCATAGTTTAAGTTGTATGATAAAGGACAAAGCAAAAGATTTTATATAGATAACTTTAGACCCGAAATGTATACGCACCTTTTTTCGCAGTTAGTTTCTTTATTAATCTCCTATTGCCAGAGCGTAGTACGTTTAACACAGAAGTTCACTCATACAGGATTATCAAGCACACCACATACCACACACACCCTGTTCATATTAAAATTCTTGCACACCCGTTTTAATCTGTTACACAACTTATATTGCATTTCTAATGAAAACAGAAACATATTTGTTATTAACTTTTCGCTTTTTATTTAGTGTTACAATAAAATAAAGTATTACTTTCACAATTTTTAGCTTTCTGTTAGATAACATCAAATTTATTCTGTTAAAATTACTCTGTTAAATCTTGATCTGTTAATAGGAATTCATAGCTTACTTAATTTTTCTTAATGGCCAAACAAAACTGAAGACAGTACCTACAAAAAATTGCAGGAGTACAAAATGCTCAGCAGATGATGACCTTTAGCAAACATTAATTTTTTAAATATTGTAATTAAATATTTGCTAAAAAGCAGTACTTTCCTGCAAACAAATATCTGCATCCCTAAATTATAAGATGTTAGCATTTTATAACCCCTTTGCGTTCTCACGTGTAAAGGCGTACTGTGGCGTCAGTGTTAATAATTCTTTAAATAAATTTATATTCAATACATTATGCTCGTTCTTTCCTTTACAGTTACGTAGTTTATTATTCTTCGAGAGATTAAAAAATTTTTTTTTTCAAAGTGGGTAAGACGACTCTATATAACTTAAACGGAATGGGATATGCATTAAATAACGTAAATTCGTTAAAGTATGCTCGTGTCAGTCTCGTATAACAGTTTATTTTAAAAAGTTTAGATCTTTTCTCAGTTTAGTAATTTCACGGTTTTTTGTATTTATAATTAAATATACCGTGTATACCTAATTTGATTATATTTATTATTTCACATAAACTTCAAAATTATAATAATATATATTATATCAAGATGACGCAGAATAGGATTATTTGGTGATAATAGAGAGCGTGTCAAAGTTGCAGAACGTAGAAAAAATGAATTTTAAGAGCATAGATGACAGACTAGTAAATAAAGAAAATTTATAATATTAGCTGACAAAAAAACAAGCTATAGAAACTAAAAACAAAACTAAGAAGAAAAAAGAGTCCAAATTAAAATTTAAGATCTTAAGTAGAAAGGCATGACACGATTTTTTTTTTAGAATATTAAAAGAATCGAGGAGCTCTTCACCGAGCACAAGCCCTCCATCTGAGACTTGATCCAGAAAAAGGGAGAAATGAGAACATAAAAATATTTACTATTAAGAATTTATCGATCTCTTCCTTATCCTTTCCAAGTGTTTCCTTAAGTTAATTCTCTAGTGGTTATTTGCTTTTATACTTAACATTATTAAATTAAACACAAAGGGTGGTATATATAATGCAGCAACCGATAAATAGATAAACTAATGTGTAACGGTATTTTTCAGGTTAACTAAAGCATAGACACCCGAAATCAAGTTTAGCGCAGAGGTGAGATTTAAATAATTGAGTGCCAGATATTATCAAAACACTATAACGTAAAAGAAGTACAATAATATAGCTTTTATCCACTCTCTTACAAAAAAAGAGATATATAATAAGCCCAAAATAATTTTGTTATCCGACCTAATGAATAAAACTGTTAAAACTTAAAAATAAACATTAATGAAGCAATGATGTCAAATACAAGGCCCTAAATTCTTTTAAGGATGAACTAATATCGGAATCCGTAATTATTTAGAGGGTTAGTGTTTGTGGGTTTGTTTTTATGTATATGTGTTTTATGGTTGTGTACTTTATGCTTAATGTACCTTACGAATATGTCTTTGGTAATCTATTTATTTTTGTCCATTTGTGTTTTGTCCATTTGTGTTTTGTTTTTTTGTATTTTACATATTGTGTTTTAAATTGTGTCTTAAAAAGTTGTGTATACTGTGTTGTTGTGTTAAACTCAACTATATACATACATACTCCAAAGTATAGGTAATGCCATTACAAAATTAATAAGCTAATAGTTCTAGCAGAACATAGCAAACTTGGTCTCCAAATAATAATTTAAGGAGATTATATCAAAATCTAGTAAACCTTTCCCTTTCCAAGTTAAAATTAAAATAACGTTACTAAATATCTAGAATTTCAACAACTTTTCAAACCAATAAATTATTTTAGACAAAGCTTCTATAATCCTTGATAATCAAATAGGAAAACAAAAATGTAGTTCTGTTAAAACCACATTGATAATTACAAAAAATGTGTAGTACGTTTATCACAAATGCTTATGAAAATTGGAACTGAAGCTTTGTTTGGTTTTCTAAATCCTTTTATCCTTTATTAGATTATTTTTTAAATAGTGATTTTTTTAACGGTTTTTACGTCGCGCATGTCCTATTGTAGCTTTTTGGTTCTGACCTACTACTACAAAAAATGGGGTAGAAAATCTCTATTAGGCTTATTGTGTAATAATAATATGTATAACTTCTTTAGAAGTTACTAAAACATAAAAAATCCCTCTTTATATGCTTATAGACAATACGATAAATTTTACAGTTTTTAATTAACATGTGAACTGGTGAATCACTTAGGAATTTCTGTCAATTTTTGTTTTATGCAGTATGTTAATATAATGTACATAAACCTAACTAATACACTTATTAAGTCATTTATAATAACTTAGTAAAATTGCACAGGAAGGAACATGATGTTTTAAAGTATATAAATATATTTAAATTAGCATTGAAAAACAATTAATATGGTAAAAGCTATGGCCA